CTTGTGAGTGGGAACTAATATAGAGATGATCTTGTCCCATAACCTGATTGGACAGAAGAGGAAAACGAGGATTAAAGTACTTAAGATAATTGCCCAAGTTCACACCCACTGGACTGATGGTGCCAGTGTGGACATCCAGGTCCCCACATTCAGGACCGAGATATCTTTTTACACATTTTAAGATTAAGAAATGGAAGCCTAAATGCAGACAGAAGTTTTTTTTTCTTTTAGAATGTCATATAATAAATTCTTACAAAAACTGCAATATATTAGTTTAGATCTCGACCTCACTAATGTGGCATTCCAAATGGTGATATTGTTTTGCAATGGTCCAGATGGGAAGAGAAATTCAAAATAATGGTTTAAGTTTCAGTCCATGTTTGTTCTCTCCTCTCTGTCCCCCTACATTAGACTTAGAAGGTACTGGGATCATTTCTTTGGGTTCTCTCTGGTATCTTTTTTTCCTTCCTTTCTATAGCAATATAAATGCCATCTGAAAATTCTTAGTGGTTTCTTTGTAAGATAGGGCTAGTTACCAAGAGTTCGCAACCCCCCGCCCCAGCTCACTCAGAGTTGTATTGGGAGGGATGCTGCTTCTCAGGGCAGAAGCATATACCCTTTGGGGTCCTGGAAAATCTTTGCCATATATAAAGATCCTATATATATTCATAAAATAGTTTTACCATTTACATTCAAAATCATAAAAGAAAATTATATTCATGTAAGACATAAGCTCAACAAGGTACTTAAAAAAGCAACTGAGGGGCCGGCCCGGTGGCGCACTGGAGAGTGCGCTGCTTGGGAGCGTGGCGGCGCTCCCGCCGAGGGTTCAGATCCCATGTGGAGACCGGTTCCCGCTCACTGGCTGAGCACGGTGTGGGCGCAACACCGAGGGTTGCAATCCCATTACCGGTCAGTAAAAAAGACAAAAAGGAAAAAAAAAAAAAGCAACTGAGTGGTAAAGAGTTAGGCCCTTCAATGGACCTATTTTAACTCTAACTCCCTATAAAAAAAAGATTAGTCAGCAAGGAGGCGAGTGCTCCGAAAAGTACTCTAAAATGTTTAAGTAATGGCTCTGCTTTGCTATCTTTTATGGTAAATCTCAAGTGCTCAAGCAGAACCCAGTCACTGTGAAGAACTTCTTTAACCAAGGGCAGAAGTTATCCCAGAAATGGCCAATATTTGCTTTATTAACCTTTTCAATTTTTATTTTTAATTAGGTTTCTCAGTGTTCCCAATGGAAAGGATACTTGACCAAATAGGTGATAGCTACCCGATTTACACACCCAGAATGGGGCCATAATGGGTCAGTTAGGGTCCCAGCTGCTCCATCTCCTCAACCTCTCCATGGCCCTGAGCTAATTCACACATCCAAGTTATTTAGTGAACTATCCGTAGAGGAATATGCTTTGGTATCTCAATATTATCATATAGTCACCAAAATTGTAGACAGGTGGGCTAAGTGCTAGAGTTTTTCATTACATCCTCAGACATATAAAAAACATATAAAACAACTCCAAAATATCCTTTTCCTGAAAAATCCTTTTACTATATCTTTCACGCTTAAGGAAGAGACTATCTTTCAATATGTTAACAAGCTACTAAGTGTTCTACCTCCTAACTGGAAAAAGACCCCTCACTGCTGTTTGCAAGAACTGATGCTGGGCAGAGAATACCTTCTGATGCTGCTCTTTCTCCATAATTAATTTAATTTACCAACAATTAATAATTTCTATATTGATCTGAGATGTAAAAATAAAAGCCCATGGAATGTGGAAGAAACAAGTTTTGACTTATTAAGTGGCAGGTCAGTTACTGCAAAAGAGCAAGGAATGATCTGAAATGAAAAACACTTTCAGTTCTCTTTGGAATACACTTTTTTGCTACAGCTTCACCACTGAAAACCATGAAAGAAGAGAGGGAAACATCGAGTTATCCCAGCAGCATGACCAAGACTGGCTGCAATGAGGCACTACCATTTGTGACGAATGTGGGAAATCGTATAAGCCAATGCCTCATTTCAAACAGGAGGGTACTGAGGCCAAGTCGGGGGGATACGCAGATAGTATGGTATGGATGGAGAGACAGATGGGTGGGTGGACAGATGGATGGATAAGAGTATGGGATTAGCTCCAGGAACTCATTCTATTTCTGGCTTCATCACCAACTATTTCTTTTAAACCTAGGCAGATCGTTTCATTTCTCCGGAGCTGCTTTCCCTTGTCTAAAAGGTGATCATCCTGAGGGTTCTCTCAGGTCCCTTCTAACTCTCATAGTCTTTGATTTTATGAAACAGAACTTTTCAAAGCTATTCGATTTGGCAATGCCATGGCCATTTTGCCAGAGTTGCCAGAATTTATAGCACCATAAGCATGGAAGGGACCCGGGAGGTCTTACGAGTCCAGACATCTTACACCGTCTCAGTGTCCTGACTTGGGTGCAGTGTTGTGCCTTAACATGACACTGGAGCGTGGCTGTGAGCAAAGCTCTAACAAGGAGCTCCCACTTGAATCAATAATGAGGAGAAAACCACACACTAAAATTAGCAGTGATGGCCCAACATGACCCAAGTCACGCTGGGAGTGTGTGTGCACTGGACTTTTTTCTAGAAGTCCCTTGTGCAATGTGAGACCGCCTACATGGGGCTATAACCCCTCTTTATAGCACACTTATACTTATTTCCACCCATTCGATTTTTGCCAAGACCCCAAATTCCATTTGGCAGGAGAAACTGAGCAAAAATGGATGGCTCTTTGGAGCAAATCCATTCTCTGTTCACAGGGCCCTTGTCCATAACAACTGTTTTCATAAGTTATAAAACAGCAGGGGCCAAGTAAACTGTTTATACAGGCAGCCCATTACAGTCGCAAGGACGTATTTTTCCCCTCTGATTGCTAATTCTTAAAAGTCAGAGCAGCCGCCATTTGTTTTTGAAGCTCAGCCAGATCTTTGAATGCTACAGGAAATGCTGGAGGTGGGGCAAAACCCGGCCTCTTCCATGCATGGGAGGATAACAGCTGGAGAGGGTAGATGAAGGTCTCACTGGTTTAAGCTTCTTCCTCAGGCAGGCTGGCATTTTAACTGGCCAAGAGATGGCTGTTACTTCTTTTTTTAATGATAGAGATTCTACAGCCTCCTGAATGAGCTATTTTCTAAGGTTAATCACTCTCAAAATTGACTTCCTTACACCTAAAAACTGCCTCGCCTCCAACCTGCACCTTGCTGTAATTTGAGCCTGCTTCCTCTCTGGTCCTCTGTGGAGAGCCAGGGCACTTGGTGTTTATGCCATGTTTAATGCAGGGTCACTGTTAGTTTTCAGTTTGCCATGCTTACTCTGGAACCCCAGGAAGCGCTCACAGTCATTCCAGGGTTTTGTTATGACTGCATGGTTCTGTGCCTATGGCCTCCTTTTGACATAAAAAGAAGGATCAGGGATGTTACTAAGTCCAAGTTTCCCAAATCTGCACGTGGCCAGAAAGTCTGAATGGGCTTAAAGAGAAAAAGCTGCTCGGGCCCTCTGGAGAAAAATGAGGTCAAAAGTAGAGGAGTCACCAAGCACAGCAAATGGAAGCAAGGCACCCATATATGGCACACTATGTTCTGGGGGCCTGTCTCTGGTGGGTGTGGTGGCTCTCTACTGAGCTCTACCCACTCTTGGGCATTGGGAAATCAAAGGCAGCATGGGCAGTAATTCTAGCAGGTGATCCTGATGCTGTGAGGTGAAGCCAGGCCTGCAGGAAAGGCTGCCATGAGTGGTGATCACAGGATGGCTTGCAGAGAGCTGCAACCTGGGGGGCTATCTCAGAGACCCCTTAGGAACCATCACGCTGAGAAGGTTGTCTGGAGGGGACTGGCCCTTGCGACCAGCAGCCAGAGACAAAGGCAGGGATGCTCTATTGGGGATCGCTAACATTTCCTGAGCTCATTCTCTGTTCTGGGCACATAAAATAATTTCATTTAATCTTAGAAAAAAAAAGCTCTCTTTAGTATCCCACTTTGCTGAAGAGGAAACTGAGGTTCAGAGAGGTTCCATAACTTGCTGAAGGCTTAAGAAGTCCGCTCATTTTGCCCCAGAGCCCAAATTCTTAACCATTTCGTTTTACGACCTGACTTCCCTGCATCTCAGTTTCCGGGGATAGTAGGAAGCCCTGTTTTTCAATATTCCTCACTCCGAGAAGAGAAAATATTAATTTTCTGCCAGGGACCTGATGTGGTTTGGAGGCATGCAGATGCTGGGCGGGGGCTCCAGCCAGCAGCTCCACAGACCTGGAACTGTAACCCAGCCTCAGCTCCTGGCAAGGGTGTGGTTCTGGAAAAGAGTGCTACTCTTGTGTTTACTCAAAGATAGTCATTAAGTCACTGGGAAGACATCTTTTCTGCAGACTAAACAACCCCACTCTTGTTTTAAAAGCTTTCCTCATAGGAGCTATTTTTTGGTACAATCTTTCTATATTTACTGGTTTTTCCCCTGGCACTCTTCTACCCTTCCATTCTCTATTTTAAACAATCCTGTAATAAGATTTTGATCTGTGTCACAGAAAAAAAAAAAGCATCATTTTCATAGTTTTTATCTCCTGCCTTAACAAATTAATAAAAGAACAGCATGGATGGTAATCAGCCACTTGTGGTCCACTCTGACCCTCAAGCCTTTTGTGGCTGCCCCTGTTCCTGGTCAATCTTCCATTGACTGTTGGTTTCTAATTCTGTTGAACTTCACCATATATTGGAAAGAATAGTTCTTAGTCTCATGCAGCCCTGAAATGGTTTTAACATGCACTTGAGTCTAATTTAATTTCCTTTTGCCCTCTAAGAAGATGCTTCAAAAAGAGCCCAGTGGTCAGAGACGACCTCTGAGGAATAAGAGTGTTGACAATGAAATTCGTTCTCCCTGCAGGGCCTAACATCCCCCTGGGGGAGAGGTTGAACCCAAAGACTCTGAGACATGGTCCCTCAGTGTACCAGCCTGGAGTATATACCAGCCCCAAAGGGGGCCCACTTACTTCGAGGTTCTCGGGGTCCATCCACTGTGATTTTGATGGCTCTGTGATAGGTAGCGACTTGCGGTGGGTTTGTGAAGACAGTGATGGTCAGAGTGAAGCTCTTGCCTGTTGGGACACAAAAGAGGACACAAAGGAATGAAGTGATGGCCTGAGCATACCTGATAGGTAATTGATCATTTATTTATGCTTTCCAGCCTTCCAGCTGGACAGGTGGCAGTCCTCCAGCACCAGTTACTGGTTTTTCCAACAGTCCCTTGAGTTTGGCTTTGCTTAAATTCTGGAATGCATACCTATGGTATTTGTCTAGGTGTTACAGTTCATACAGTTATATGGCTTTAATCTAATCATTAAAAAACAACACAGGATCAAGAGAGATTAGAATTTCTTTTCTTTCAGTTCAAGACTTCAGGGAACCATAGAGTCAGATTGGCAGATATCCACTCTGTCCCCCCACCCCCCACTTCCACCATCCTCCCCAATTATCTCTAAACTCAGGGCAGAGAGGAGTTAAGCAAACCACCTTTCTTCTCTAACTTTGTTGGTACCTCTGAGGATTAGGAAAGATAGAATAAATGTGAGGATAGGCTAAATTAGAATTATTCTCTGTGTATTTTTAAAATACTAATTGCTGGTTGATTTTAAATATTATTTTTAAATGCCAGATGTTATTAGAGGCACTCATGGGATTAGCCAGAACAAAATTATGGTCAATAAATGGACTTAAGGATATGTAACTGACAGACCGAGACTCAATAAGTACTATTAATATAAATATACACATGGATTTCCATGTAAACATTTTACATGTACTTATGAAAGTGAGTGCATCCCCATTGCACATATCTAATAATTTAAAAACATTACTTCTTGGTCAAGTGGTTCAGAGGATGGACTTGCTAGCTGACCTTTGGAAAGTCATTACACCTGTCTGTGCCTCAGTGTCCTCACCTGGAAGATCGGTACATGCAACTTTTCCTACCTGATGGAGTTTAGGGGGAGATTATATGAGTTAATATGAGTAAACCATTAAAAAGGTATCTGGCATATGGTATTCAAACGTTGTGTGTGTGTGTGTTGTGTTTGTTTTTATTATTTATCTTCTCTGTTTCTCATAGGTCCTATCTGTATAGCAGGACCCTAAAGTTTGACTATGTATGGTGTTCAGTCCTACATTTCAACTGAACGTCAGTTAACATAGTGTCTCCTCTCAATCATGTAGCATGAAATAAAACCAAAAATAAGTGAAAGGAAAAGAAAACATGCCCATCCGCTCCCTTATCTACTCCAAAAACCATTTACCATTTTAAAACTCAAATTATTTTCCTTTCCCAAGTTAGAGCAGAATATTTTCAACTGTCATGCATGTTTTTTTTTCCTTTTTGTCTTTTTTCGTGACCGGCAACGGATCGCAACCCTCAGTGTC